GGTAGAAGTATACCTAACCTCATGCTGCCAATGGCGATCTTACGGTGAAATGCATGCAACGATTATAATAATATCTATGGTCTATCTACGGTCTATCTACGGTCTATCTACGGTCTATCTACGGTCTTTCTACGGTCTATCTACGGTCTTTCTACGGTCTATCTACGGTCTTTCTATGGTCTTTCTATAGTCCAGTATTCGTTTTTCTGTGTTAAAATGAGGAAAAACTTTGCATAACATTGTGTTTGGGTGATATGTTTTCTCCAACCTATACATTACATAATGTCTTTTTGCAAACTTTTTGATGTTATTAGTGGATTATAAAACTAGTGGATTTTACTAAGGATTTTTCTCTTTTCATTTTTTTAATAAGAGAGACAAAGAGAGAGACTCAGAGAGAGCAAGAGAGAGAGAGAGAGAGAGACAGACCAGACAGGACAAACATTTAGAGACGATTAGAGAAAGAATGAGAGGAGTGGAGTAGAGAAGGAGAGAGAGGAGAGAGAGGAGAACGAGCAGACAGAGAGAAGAGAGAGAAGAGAGAAGAAGAGAGAGAGAGAGCAGAAGACTGACAGAGAAAGAGAAGGCAACAGGAAAGGAGTGGGAAAAAATAGAAAGAGAGAAGAGAGAGAGAAGAGAGAGAGAGAGAGGGCGGAAAGAGAAGAGAGAGTGGAGAAGAAGGACGAGAGAGAGAGAGGAGAGAGAAGAGAGAGAGAGATGAGAGAGAAGAGAGGAGAGAGACGAGCAGAGAGAGAGAGAGTCAGACAGACAGAAAAGAGAGAAGGCCAGACAGAAAGAGTGAGGCATGAGAGGAGAGAAATGGGGGAGAAGTGAATGAGATGAGATACCCCAAAGAGAGAGAGAGAGAGGAAGAGAAGAGGAGAGAGAGAAGAGAAATGAAGAGAGGAGAGTGACAAGGAATGAGATACAGAAGAGAGAAAAGAGAGACGGAAGCAGAAGAGAGAGAGGAAGAGAGAGAAAGAAAGAGAGAAAGAGAGAAAGAGATGAAAGAAAAGAAAGAGAAGAGAGAGAGAGAGAGAGAGAGAGAGAGACAGACAGAGAGAGAGAGAGAGAGAGAGTGAATAAGATACACACAGAGAGACAGAGAGCCTTACTTGTGCGTGAGCGCAGCAGAGAAGTGGTTGAGGATGTACGTGTCAATGACCGGCCGGAAGTGAGAGAACTTCTCTTCCTCCAGTAAGCTGAAGACAAACACCTAGCAACAGCAGGAGGAGGAGGAAGACACGATCAGCATCATCAGGTGTGCGTCAGCTTCGCGAGGAGCTGTCGTCATGGTTACAGCATCACGTGTCATCATCGTTATATACATAAAATATTATCATCTATATTTTTATTATCACCATCGTTATAATATGAGGAATGCAATATATATATATTTAATGATAATGATATATATAATGTTATATATATATATATATATATCTAATTTACATCTATGCCAAAAAAGGCCTTTTTTTTAACGGCTCTAAATACAATTTCATCAGGTGAGAGTTTGACAAAATAATTAGTTCTGGTAGCAATTGTTTATTCTTTTATTATCTACAAAATTACTCTTCGTAAAAATATGTGATATAGTCGTTTTAATTAGGCATACAGGAAATTATTATCACTTAGCAGAGCCTGGAAGACTGACGCAAAGATTGTTATTGCTTAGCAGAACCTGGAAGAAAGGACATGGGAACTTTTATCGCTTACTAGAGCCTGGAAGACGACGGACGCATCTTGCTTGTTCGACTCTTCGGTGGGAAACATGGAGAACAGCGAGTCCAGGATGTCTTGCAGAAACTGTAAGTAATTAGCCTAATTAGCTTAATTAATTAATTGTATTGTATTTGGATCTGCTTTATATACACATATTACCATGAGCGTTATCATTCTTCCACTCTACTGCCGCCGGCGCCGCTACCACTGCAGTTTATCCATCACCCTAATTATGGTGGGTTAACATAATGGATAAGTTTAAGTATCACCCTATTATCACCGACCCCCTTCACTCCAACACAATGATTATCTCACTCATTGAACCCCAACCGCTCCACCCTAGCACAATAGCTTAGCCATCACCACTACCACCATGGTTACCTTCACCTCCTCCCCCTCCAGCACAATGGTACATACCTTCACCACCTCCTCCCCCTTACAGCA